ATTTCTCTTTTTCTATGGATATGAAACATAAATAAGTTGGGAGTTCATTTAAGTCTAAGATATATAGAATTTTATTTCTTGATCCAGAGAAGATAGTTTTTTCCGAGGATAGTTATTTTACTTCACACATGTTAGGTTAGAAAATAACTTCAAAGTCATTATCACATAGTTGACTTATACTTAGTAAGTTATATTTTAAACCTTCCACGTATTGAACATTCTTAATCTTAGTAGAATAATTATTACCAATGATACTAATACCTTTGATTTTTGATTTTACATAATTTTCATAAGTTATTGATTCACCATCTTTTTCTTTCAATGATAAGAAACAATTTCTATCTCCAGTCATATGTCTTAAGCAACCACTGTTCAAGTACCAAAGTTTTTTCTTGTTTTTCAGAAGATATTCCTACATCACAAGTTAGTAATGATTTGGTTACACATATGGACTTGGGTCCTTGAGAGTTAGCTTTTGAGGATGATATTTTATGCATTTCTAGAACTGTTTTAGAATTCACTAATTCAATTTCATCCTCAATTTATTGAGTGTATTGTTGATGCTTCATCTTTCTCTTTCGTTGAGAGTGTTTTTTATTCTGAATCTTTTCATTAGAATATAATGGTATACATGAAGACTTTGATGCATGTACACACTTTAATGGTTTTGACATTTCTTTTTGGATCTTTTTCACTTACACTATTAAGTGCTTTAACCTTAGAGGTCGTGCTCTAATGCTAATTGAAGTAGATATAAATGTCACTAGAAGGGGGTTGAATAGTGACCCCTTTAAAATATTGCTTTTGATTTCTGAAACAAACTTTATCAAAATAAACTATGAATATAATCAATAATTAAGTTTTTGTAGTGTGTGAATTGTGTATAAATAAGCAAACTTTAAAGGAAAGAGTTTAAGAAAGAACACACAGAGATTTATCCTGGTTCACCAAACTTGACTACTCCATTCCCCATGCTTTGTGAGATTTTCCATATAATTATCAATATCTTTTGATCCTTTTCTTACACCAAGATGCATTTTCTTTAGCCTCATCAGGCTTATTACAAAGCTTCAGCTAGCTTACACTATCACCCAAGATCAACCATGACTTGAGGATATACAAAATATTAAGAATGATTTGTAAGGAAGATCAGATTCACAATTCCTCAATAAAGATTATTGAAAGGATGTGGTTTTAAGAGAAATAATCCTAGATATACAGATCATTGATTCTAAGATTATTATTTTAGTGAGAATATAATTTTGGGAAGAATATGATAAATTTTCTCTCTTGAACTCTCCTTGAACGAAGGTGTTTTCTCTCTTGATTTTTTCTTGAATGAATGATGTGATTTTAAGACAAATATTCTTAGAAAGAATATCCTTGATTCTAAGAATATGATTTTAGTGAGAATATGATATTTGGAAGAATTTCATGACTATTTATCTTGAATTTTCCTAGAGTGATTGTGTTGAAATGAAGAGAATATGAATGACTATTAATAGAGGTTTTGATCCTCTAGTTTCTTTAGTACCAAATCTGCTCTGAGTATATACTTGAAATTACAAGTAAGTCATTAGTAATTATAATTATGTCATTGACAGTGTAAATGAAAAGATCATCTATTTATAAAATTATCATTGAGTGATGTTGATACGCATGCTATGTTCTCTTGATCCTTAGCTGCTTTATGTAATTATGAAAATGTCATTTGGTAATGAGTTGATCTTCTAGGATAATAACAACTTTGTCATTACTTTTCTTTCTTGATACTCAAGCAAGTAATATTATTATAAGTTTGTCATTGATTCAAAAGATGATACTCTTTAGTAGTGCAGAACTATGATAATGTCATTGTGTGACTTATTTCTTTCTCACACTTGGTATTTTGTGTTCCTTTTTACATATGTTTTTCTTTTCTTGTAATGCGCTTAATAATAAACTTGAGAACCATTTCTTCTTGCATCCCATTGATGATAACATTTATACATATATGTCTTATTAATTTTCACTCAAGAGCACACGTCAAATAATAAATAAGATCAAAATCTTAATTATATTTACCTAAAAGTTTGTCATCTTCAAAACATAAAAAAAGTTTATTTTTCTTCAACAATTAGTGACTTACTAACAAGGCTCTTTCTATCAAATAAATAAAATTTATGATCTTTAACACCCATCCTCAACTTTAAGCATGATAGATATCAAGCATGCCAAGCTTAGAAACAAAATAATTAAACTTGGTTGGCTATAAATGTTTTGTGAGAAAATCTACTAGCTGTTCTTGTGAGGGGATTGACAATAATTATAGTATTCTTTGTTGAACCTTCTCTCTTACTAAATGATAATCTATACTTAAATGTTTTGTTCTTTCATGAAAAATGGGATTAAACACTATACGGAGGGCACTCTGGTTATCACAGTACAAGACACGAGGTTTGGAACATGAAACATACACACCCCTTAAGACATATAAAGCCAAACCAATTCACAAGTGATTTTGCCTAATGCTCTGTACTCAGCTTCAAAAGAACTTCTGGATATTGATATCGTTTTTTGTTTATTTTCCTTCCAAGAGATGAGAGATGATGTAACACCTAAATTTTAATATTTTATTTTTCTATAGAGTTTTGAAGGTTTTTAGTTTAACTAATCAAGTTGAGAAATTATATGTTTATCTTTTATATATAAAGAGTCGGGGTTTTAGGGTGTTATATTTATGGTATCATAGTAGGTCGATCCATTTAGCCTAAGTTGTGACTAACTTGTACCCTTATGTTCGACATATGTGTGAACATTGTTGATGCTTTACAATTATTTTCTATAATGTTTACAATTGGTTGAATTGGCTATGCAAAGAGAAATGACTAGCAACAATGATCGTGCGATTATTGACATTCTTCAAGCAATGCTCCAACTGATGAGGATAAATAGAAGTTTTAGCAGAAGACCACAAATGGGAAAGAATTAAGTGGGGTAGGATTTGTTTAGAGTAGTGTAACGTGGGAGTTAAAGAGTCAGGTGAATGGGTCTTACCTAGAGATGTTTCCTTCAGGTAATTTTCGAGGGCAAAATTTCTTTAAGTGGGGGAGACTTGTAACACTCCAATTTTAATATTTTATTTTTTATAGAGCTTTGTAGAGTTTTAGTTTAATTAATTAAGTTAATAAATTATGTGCTTATCTTTTATATATAAAGAGTCGGAGTTTTAGGATGTTATAGATGACCAAAGTGAAGTGGAAAACCATGTTTCTTATAACAAATCTCAATAATGTGGCCAATTCTACCACAATGAGTATACACCTTGGTCTTGAATCTGATTTCTTGAATCCTACATCATTGGTTTCTTGAATCCTACATCATTGATTATAGCCTGAGAATCATCAGAAGGAGAAAATTATTGTGTCTTTCATGCTGTAAAACCATAGAAAAATCATGTTCATTGTGGGTAATAGATCCATTAACAGAATTTGTGATTTGGCCATTGCAAAATTTTCATTCAAACTTGTGAGAAATCTTATAACATATAACAAAGTGTGATTATTTCTCACTTTCCTCATGGCTTCATAAAAGCATTGAATGCGACAAATACAACTTGAAATTTATGACAAACTTTAAATCTTGCTTTATATCATAAATTTCTCGTTGTAATTCAGAAACACATACAAGATCTCTTTCAAAGAACCTTTCTTTTAAATCATTCAACAAATCTATGGTGTTTTTCAAAGAAATCGATTCAAAAACTAAATTGACTATCTAAGAATGAATCAACATATTGCATTTGTATCAAGTATGGAAAGTAGGATCAAATTGATCACCTGAAACTGAAATAAAATCGATGATGAATTCCAATTTTATCTTAGCACCAAGAGTTCGACGCATTGATCGCGCCCATGAATGATAATTGAAACTATTGAGAAGAGATGTAACCTTATCTGAAGAAGGTTCATTACTTGGATGAACAAAATAATGATTAATTTGTTCCAACTATGGATCAACAAGAGAAGCAAGGCATTGATGGAAGAAACTACAACAAAGAAGAAAATGGTTGGATCCAAAAGGCTTATAATACCATATTATGATATAGAAAACTCCTTGAAAATGAGAGGAAGATTTATATACGTGAGCTCTCGTAACAAACTTACTAACCACTTTCCTGAAATAGTAAAAAACTAAACGAACTACTATAATATAAAATTGAAAAGTTCCCCAAATTAAAAAGTCTGCTAGTGATTTCATAACAATGTTCTTTCTATCAGATTAATAAACTCCTTGATCTCTAATCGTTAGTATGATTTTACTTTGATATTATATCACTATAGTAGATGTAGAAAAGCTTACGGTATGATTTTGTTTCTCAAATGAAGTGACAACATTTCAATTTTTCTTTCAGCAATTATTTTCAATTGAATTTATATCAATTATTAACTCAATTGATTCTAACCCGCAAGAATATCTATATGTTTTTTTAACAAGAAAGTAATTAAATGAATAGACAATTAACTTTATATATGTGCTAATCAATTCCTTTCTCTTTGTTGTTACTAAATTGTTTCTTATTAAGATGATTCTGACTTCTTACAACATAATTTTGAGATATTTAATTACATTTATTTTTAATGAAAATGTTTACCATTAACATTTGAATTTAATTTCGCTATTTCACTAAAAAGAAAGTTTAATAATATTCCAATATGGAAATTTTGCAGAAAATTGGTAATGTCTCCATTATTAATCATAAACACAAAGGAGTCCAAAATTTACATCATCTCAAAAAAAAGGGTTTCTCAAACAGCAGAAACACCCTTTCCAAAAATAGTACCACCACAATTATATATATAAAAAAAACTCATACTGTAATAGAAAAAAAAAAAGAGATAAAATTAAAATTTTATCCTATTACTGAAAAACCGCGACTATGTAAAAAAAATGAAGGGGTAAAATTGGGATTTTAAGGAAAATGGAGAGTGAGTGTGACTGAGAGACGAAACGACGACGCATCAGCGAAGGGTAAACCACGAGATGAGTTGGCGACCGACACGGCGTTCGGTGAGAGCCACGCGCTCGTCGGAGATAAGCGAAGACCGGCACAACGGACAATTGAAGTTGTATCGATGAAACCAACCGTTGAGACAGTGGCGGTGGAAGACGTGACGGCAGGGGAGTTTGCGGACGTGGTCGCCGTTTTCGAAAGTTGATTGACAAAACACGCAGCGGTGGTTATCCGCGGAAGCAGCGTCTTCGTATGTGTAGAAGTGTTGGTTGTTGAGAGATAGTTGATCGGAGAGGAGGATGATTCCGGCGAGACCTGATCCGACGGCGGCTAGGAAGTGGTCGTCGACGATCTGATCGGTTCGGAGACGCGAGAGGCCGATGGATTGGAAGAGAGCGAGGAGCATGGTTCTGATGTAGTTAACGCAGGTGGCGATGTGCATCAACACAAGAAGTGGAATTGAATCAGACGACACGTCGTTTAGTTGGTTTTGTAAGCCCATCGCTTTGGTTTTGGGTTTGTGAATTGAAAGTGTGAGAAATTTGAGAGAAGAGGATGAAGAGCGTGTCGTTTTTGTGTGGATTGTGAGAAGAGAAGAGGCTCTATCGGAGTTATAAACGATGCTTTGATGTGATGTGGGAATCGCTAATTAACATTAGAGTAAGGGAGAGTCTACCTCACAATGCTAATCAATTAATTAGGTGTTTTATTAAACTTAAATTAGTGTGATTTGGAGTACATTGGAAAATTATATATAGATTACTTATAGGTGATTTGTTAGGACAGAAAGGTAATTTGCTAGGACATAAAATTATGCATTCAAGATGGGTTAAGGGTATTTATACAAAGCTTACAAAACAAGCAACTTTTTGATTGAAAATCAATTACAAATACTTAATTGATTTTCAATTACTTAACAATCTAATAACCTTTTAATAGATAACTATCTCTCTCTTAAACCATGTTAAGTTGTTCAAGCAGTTGGTTAATAAACAATCGATCAAACAAAGCTAGAAATATTAGAACTATAATTTTGGAAATTTTACAAATTTTTTCAAGTAGTTTCTTGATGTTTTCTCAAGCTTTAGAGGTTTTTTCATTATATATGCTAGTTGGTCTTGTGAGTCACAATGCATCAATTCAATTATCAATTAAATTTAATCTTTTTTAAATTTTATTTTAATTGCTCCTTCTATGCATGATATGATTTTTGCTTAACTTGATAATTCACATAAGACAATTAAGCATTTGCCTTGTTTTAAGCCAAAACATTCTAGAATCCACTACAATCATATGCCCTTACACAAACAATGCGTTATAGGATGAATTTAGTTTCAATTGTGAACATAGTTACAATAGTTTCTTTATATATCAAAAGTTATGAACACATACTTTAATGTACTTTTTATTTCATATACATTTTTTTTATATCGGAATTCAACTATAATTTGTAGAGAATTTTTCCTCAATTTTAATTACAAGATTGTTATCACTCACGCAATAGCAATGAACAAATGAGAAATAAATAAAAGAAAAACGTTGAAGAAGAAGATGAATTTCTGCAGAGACTCTCTGCTCACAACTGTGAAATTTTATTATCACTTTGCAACTGCAAAACCGTGATTATCAAACTTGATTATTACAATGATAAGGATTTCTTCCTATTTATAGATTTAGGTTAACTTGCATCTCAAGGTAAAGCTCAAACTATAAAAGGCCAAAAATATCTAATCTAATATTTATAAATCAAATCTGATCTTTCTAAATCAAATTTAATCTTTCTAAAACAATAAATTACATATTTAACACACTGCCTAATTCATTGTGTCTAAACTATCCACATTCATCATAGACCTTAACTTCTTGAACACTTCGACTGACACTTCCTTCGTCGTGATGTCTGCAATCTGATTCTCAATTCTGCGGTGTTCCAAGTTCATCTTCCCTTCTGCTACATGTTCTCAAAGATAATGAACCTTATTTCGATGTGTTTGCTTCGACCGTGTGCTATTGGATTCTTCGCCAAGTTGATAGCTGACGTGCTGCTGACCTTCATGGTAATTGCTTCATGACTCTTCATTGTGATCTCTTCGACCAAGTTTACCATCCAGATTTCTTGACATACACAAAGAGAAGTAGATATATATTCTGCTTCGCATGATGATAATGCCATTACTGGCTCCTTTCTCGAACTCCAAGCAACCGGTGCACCACCTAACATAAAAGCATAGTCAGCTATGGATTTTCTATCCTCAACATCACTACACCAACTTGAGTCAGTGTATCCCACTATCTTACATTTTTTTCCTTCATCAGCTGCAGAAAACAAAATGTCGTAGTCGAGATTTCCTTTCAAATAACTCAGTATCCTCTTCGTCATTATTAGGTGTGATACCTTTGACTTTTGGATGAATCTACTTATCATACCTACATTGTATGTTAAGTCAGGCCTTGTGTGACAAAAGTATCAAAGTGACTCAATAAGTCTTATATATTGGGTTGGATCAATATCATCTTCATCTGAATCCTTCGACAGTTGCAATCTAGTCTCAGTTAGAGTCGAAGTTGGGTTGCAATCTTGCATCTCAAATCTCTTGAGTATTTTGCCTGCATATCTTCTTTGGTGCATCATCAAACCTCTACTAGTCTTGTAGAATTCGATACAAAGGAAATATGAGAGGTCTCCCAAGTCTGACATTTCAAACTCCTCACTCAGATTATGTTTGAAGTCTTCGATCTCCTTCTTGTAACTTCCTGTTATCAACAGGTCATCGACATAGATATATAGTATGAGAAATTCCTTATTGTTTCTCCTTCCATATACTCCATGCTCAGTTGTGCACTTCACAAATTTCTTCTCCCTTAGAAAGCTGCCGGTCTTCTTATTCCAAGCTCTTGGAGCTTGCTTAAGTCCATACAGAGCTTTATGTAGTCTGTACACCTTTCTTTCTTCGCCTTGTTTCACATACCCAACTGGTTGTGCGACATAAACTTCTTCGTCTAAGGGACCATTAAGGAATGCACACTTCACACCCATCTGAAATGTGTGCCAATTATTCATATTTTCTAGACCAACAACCAACCTGATTGTTTCGATCCTAGCAACAGGTGCAAACACTTCGTTGAAGTCGATTCCTTCCTTCTGAAGAAATCCTTTCGACACAAGTCTCGCCTTGTGCTGAGTTACCTCTCCTTTAGGATTCACTTTCACCTTGTAAACCCATTTCACATTAATAACCTTCTTGCCTTGAGGAAATTCGATAAGTGATCAGGTGTTGTTGACTTCGATGGACTCTAACTCCTCATTCATTGCTTTCGCCCACTTCAAATATTTCAATGCATCAACTGCATTGACTGGTTAGACATTTTCATATAAAACATAGTGTACCAACTGACCTTCTTCATCGACCACATCATCTGATGTAATCACACATTCTTGCAACCTTGCATGCATGTGTCTTGTTCGTTGAGGTCTGCTTGGGCCTGCTTCATCTCTAACTTGTTCCTGTCGAACTTCTCTTTTGACTTTAGTGGATGGTTCTTCATAAGAGATTTTCACTGAATCCTTCTTGACATTCTTAGTCTAATCTCATTCTTTAACAAGAGATTCTCACTGAATCCTTCTTGAAATTCTTAGTCCAATCTCATTCTTTAAGCTAATCTATGATCATATCCTTACTGATCACTATCGGCTTATTCACTGGGCCGAGAAACTTGTAACCTCTAGTCGAATGATATCTTATCAAGATCATCTGATTCAACTTGTCATCAAGCTTCCTTCTTAACTGATCTGGCACATGTCTATGTGTTATAGATCCAAACATCTTCAAGTGGATGAGGCTAGGATTGACACCATACTAACATTCTTCTGGTGTGATTCTTTCAAGCTTCTTCGTCGGACATCTGTTTAATAAATATTTTACTATCGAAACCGCTTCTCACCATAATTATTTGGGTAGATGATTTCCATTCAACATACTTCTCACCATGTTCATGATGGTTATGTTATTTCTTTCTGCAATTCCATTTTGCTGTGGAGTGTAGGGTGGTACCACCTCATGCACAATCCCTTCTTTTTCACATAACGCATTGAACTCTTTTGAAACATACTCTCCACCACCATTAGTCCTCAGAAGTTTTAGCTTTCGACCACTCTGTCTTTCGACTATAGATTTGAATCTGGCAAATACCTCGATCACATTGCTTTTCTTCTTGATGAGGTAAGTCCACAAATTTCGACTGTAATCATCTATGAACGTGACAAAGTATTTATTGCCTGCAATCAAATCCACCTGGATTGTACCATATACATCAGTGTATATGAGTTCCAGAATTGCCTTTGACTTCCTTCCTGCATCCTTACTGAAGTTATTCTTGTGTTGTTTTGACTGAACACACTCTTCACAGACTTCACTTGGAATGTCGGTTTCAGGTAATCCTGAAGCCACATTTCTTCTCTTTAGCTCTCTGATGTCATTGATGTTGAGATGGCCTAATCGAAAATGCCATAACCACTCATCTCTGTTGGCTACAGTTATTAGGCACTTGTGCTCCATCACATTAAGTTCAATCTTGAAGGTCCTATTCTGAGACATTAGAGCCTTCAAGATCAACCTACCACCTGCATAGAGAACTCTCATCATCTTGTCTTGGACAACTACCTTGTAGTTCCTTTCGAAAAGCTGTCCTATACCGAGAAGGTTACTTTCATGCCTTGTATGTAAAAAACATTGGAAATTATTGATTTCTTTCCATCCTTCCTCATGATCTGAACATCACCAACACCTTCAGCTGCTAGAGTGTTGTCATTTGCAAAATTCACCGTGTTCTTCGAAGAGGGCTTCATGTTGAAAAACAAATCTTTCCTTCCATTCATGTGTGATGAGCATCCTGAGTTCAAGCACCACTGGTCTTGGAATCTCTCTTCGTCTCTTGTTGTGATCATCAACAACATCTCTTTTTCTTCATGTTTTGCAGCTTTGCATTAGTTTCTTGATTCTTCTTCTTTTTTGGATAATCACTAAAATAGTGACCATACTTCTGACAATTGAAACACTGAATGTGACTTTTGTCAGGCTTTTGACCACCACCTTTTTCTTTACCTGCAGCACCACCTTTTTGGTTGCCTTGGTTCTAGGGTCTTCTTTGATTTGACCAGTTTCCTTCATGCTGATTTCAACCAGCCGAACTTGTGTAGCATCCTCTACCTTTATTGTCATTCCATCTTCCTTTGAATTTGATTTTGTTTTACTTTTCCTGCAAAGCCATATCACTCTTCGACTTTCCTGCAGCTCTTTTAGCCATCCTTTGTTCACTAGACTCAAGTGTCCCTTGAAGCTCTTCCTTTATAATGAAAAGTCTTTCGACTCTTCTATGGTTACTACCACATGGTCAAATTTTGGAGCCAATGACCTCAAAATCTTTGACACAACTGATCTTGATGTCAACACTTCTCCACATACCTTGACTTGATTCACCAGCTTTGTAACTCTGGTGAAGAAA